TGGCCTGTAGGGAACTGACCGAGCTCTGCCCTTCTCCAGGGCCAGAAATACCTCTGGGCAGCCTCCTTCCCCCAAACCTGAGTGAGATGCTGCTCTGGAAGTGTAGTGTACTCTTCCCTTCGCGGTGTGACATGTTGTACCTGTGGCGGTCGAGTGGCAGGCCGGGCTGTGGCCAGTAGCCCGAAATGGCAGGTGGGTACTTTTTGACAGACGGAGAGGAACTAGGCACCGAAGCGTATTGGTTAAACTAAGATTGCTTTACTTACACTGTAGATAATTATAATACAGGTAGGCTGAATGCTGACTTGCGTTACAGTTGCAACGAAGAAACAGAACCGAGCTAGCAGGGTACGGGGTACGTCAGGAGAGGCGATGACGGGGAGTCACTGGCGGGTGATCAGTCCACTAGGTTTTAATCTGAGAAATGCGCGGGGTTCTCCGAGTTCTCTCAACTCGAGAAATGTGCGGAGCTTTCTGAGTTCTCTGAGTTCTCCAGCTCCAAGGTGTATGCGGAGTTCTCCATGTGCGGAGTTCTCCAACGTGGGTGGAAAGTGATTTACCTTTTATATAGCTAGAAGGCCAATCACTAGTCACTAAATATGAATAATTTGGAAGAAGCCAATAGTGATGTGCGGGTCTGCATACAGTTGGCGGGAACTTTTTCTAAAGTTGTACTTTTCCATGACATAGCATATAGTCCTTGGGTTCTGTCTCAGCCGAATTTTCCACTGTGACCTATTTTCCTCGCTGTGACCTAGTTTCTCCCTGTGCCATATGTATCAAACCAAACCAATGGAATTTTCCACTATGGCACAGGCATGCAGACTAAATGGGATTTTCCACTGTGCCAGGATTGTAACCCACTGCCAAGTGAGGAGATGGAACGTACCAAACTTAAAAGCAACGACAGTTGCTAGGCAGATTTCATTGTGTCAGGGATACTTCTCAGTTTGGGTTATGACAGTACCCTTTATCAAACCGGAAGCTTTTCACCTGTGCTCTCCAGCTGCAGCTGTGCTGGCCCTCCATGCTGCGAATGTTTTTTGTTTGCATTCCCTCCATCTGTTGGTGCAAGCTGCTTTTCTTCTCCTGACCTCCCCTGCCCAACATGTGAGACACCTTGGGGCTTCTGTTTGCTCTCTGTCACTCCTTCACAAGCACACTGGTTAATAAAGTGCCAGATAGCACAGTTTTTACTGTATCTACATTCTCAATGACATCCTGCCACACTTTTAGTTTCATTCCTTGGAGTCTCAGACCAGCAGAGACTCCCTGTGCTTGAAACTTTTTTCCAACTATTCAGTTGTTCTAATAAAAGGTATCATCACATCTACTCAAAGAACCTTTCCTGCCTAATTTAATTTACTATATTCTATTAAAAGAGAATTTACCAAAGGCCAACACAGCTACAGTGAGAAACCCACCAAAAATCTACCAGATTAAATGAGGTAGTTATCCATAACCAACAAAAAATCATTATTTCTCTTCTTGCCTTTGTATTTGTGTATCTATCCCTCATCTCCATGATCTCTCTGCGTGTTGTGGGGAAGTTGACATGGCCAATACTAGTCACTCACATCTTTATAATCATTCTAGGACTGGCAAACCTGATTGCACAGTTCTTACTATGAAAACTCTGTGGATTTCACAAATGAAATGACCTTTGTGAGATTTGATTACAGCCTTGAACACTAAATGCTAAGGACCGGTTCTCATTCTGTTTCCACGTAAGAAAACTTGCATTTCCGAAAGCAAGGGACAAAGATGACTTCGCAACAGTATTCAGGAGTTGGAAACTAAATGCATCTTGCTGTTTTGAAAATGCTATATCGCAATAAATGGGTCAAATTTTGTTCATAATTCAGTTCCATTAGATACAGGGAAGCTACATCTGGGATGAATTTCACTTTCTAGAGAAACATTTTCATATAGATAAAAGATGGTACAGTTCACTTTTAAACAGTTACCTTTCTTATTTTGTGGAATTCCCCTTTCTTCTAAGAAATAACTGTTCCTACTCATAACAAACAGGTTCTTGTCATATTGTACAGTGGTGATTCTAAATATTAGTATCTGCAGTGAATTTTAGTGCATTGCTTGGAACTGAACACATGCTGCAGAAAGTGTTGTTTGTGAAACTAATTTTACAACCAATTGAATTGCAATACACCCTCCTGTACAGGCACTATGCATTTGTTTGGTAACTTTAATTTCTTCTTGCAAGGTCTCTCAATTAAAAAACACATAGAAAGGAACTGAGATACAGGCACTGTGTCTGGGCTCCCAGAATAAGTGATGTTGTGACAGTAGGCAACAAATACAGAACAAATTGGTGGCTCAACTGGAGTTAGAACACAGGCTCCAGGCCCTTTAACATCAGCAATGCACAGCCCAAGAGCAGGATCCATCCTGCAGAGCCAAAGGACTTTGCTTTGAATCCGCATAGTCACCAATTCCCCCAGCTCATCGCTCACTGGCTGTAGGGTGGAGAGCTGGGGGCCTGGGAAAAGCAATGTTAGTGCAGACCCAGCTTTTAGCTGCCTGGCCCTAGTAAGGGTGCAGGGAAAGACTCCAGCTGCTTGACAGGCCACCGAAGCATTGAACTAGGCCCACCCTACATTGAACTAGAGCTAGGTTCTGGCCTGCAACTTGCTAAAGCTCGCCTGCCGCTGCTTTTGAAACTAATCGTTAAGATTAAATACTCAGGTGCTTTCATGAGACCTAATCATAGGTCAACAACTTTAAATGTGCAGAGCATTTCATCATCTCTGGTGTAGTCCTTGTATCCCTGTAGGGTCACAGAGTATGAAAATATATCATTGTGGAAAAACTGTTCTTCAACTCTGCTCTGCTGCAATTCTTGGAGAGATGTAGATACGCTGACAAAATAGCATTCTTCAAGATGGTACACTAAACCAG